CAGCAGGAAAACTGTCATCTGTTTCTTTTTAGACACCCAATGTAGTGTACTATAAAGATGTAGAAGTAAATACAGAAAAACAGAAGTGAAGTAAGACCTTAACACCCACTAACTTTTCACACAAGCTAGGAGGTAACTGCTGTCGACACCTTTTAACGTCTCTGAAGTTGTTACCTATAGAAAAGCTGAAGTTTAAAATTACTGAAATGGAATAAAGTTTTAAGCAAGCTATGCTAAAGACTCAACTCAGAGCCATTTTAGACATCATATACACACATCAGTAAATACAATATATAACCTGCATTCCCTAGAGAGGCATGTAGACAACAGATACATTGTATACATCTGAAATTGTACTAAACATCTGTGCTTGGGCACCTTAAATCAACTCCTGCATATCTGATGCTTCTATTTTCAACAATATACCACACACATCTCCCAAAATCTTATCTAAGAAGTTTCCTCCTCATTTTTAAACATTTGAAAAAATGCCCTGCATTCCATGTTTCCTGCATTTGATCTAGTACCACTGTGTTAGCTAGCACCACAGCTTGCAGCATTCATCATCTTCATCTGGGAAACAGAAATCAACTGCCTTCACAGCAGCAAGGCTCAACTTCACATCAGGCTGTACAGTTTACTCTGCATATTAACAGAGGCTAGTGCAACATTTATTTTGCCAAAAGGACTTCCTTCCAGGGATTGACTGAAGGAAAGTCTACTTATATTTTTGCATTTTAAAGAAATAAAACATTAAGGGCAAAGAGACCAAGATGTTGATTTCCACATGACCTTTCAACTTAATGATGACTGAAATCATACCATAAAAGTGTTTGCCTGAGCTTCCTACCATGTACACTGGGAACTTATATTACTGTCTGATGTCTTACATATCAGTATCCCTGTGGTCTAAGAAATTTATATTTTATTTGTGTATAAACCGCACTCCATGTAATATTTAACACATAATTTTCATTGCTTTTATAGCCAAACTCATATGACTTCTTAACAATGAAACTTAATTTGAATAAAAACCTAACATTTTTACAAAAGGAAGCAAACAAAAAAAATTGTCATATGGCTGAAAGTAGATTTACAGTTCCAAGAAAGTCCCCAAGAGTCCCTTACATGACACTAAATAACTCTTTTAATTACATCTGTTCATTTGGGTCTTCCGGTTAGGCTGACCTAACTGAGATAATGGGAGGAAAATGGAAATGATGCCACCTAGTCCCTAAGTAGTTTGGAAAATGAAAAATGTAAGTTAGAGCATCCTTAAGATTGCACCATGAATATGTCATCATCTGCGCAGGATATCAAAGGTCTGATCAATCAGCTGCAGGGAGAGCTAGCTGTTCTGGAAGGGATCGCTGTAGAAGCTCACAAGGGAAAATGTAAGCTGTTTTTGCAACCAGAATGAAGCAAAGTAGCCAGGATACAATACTACTTACCCATTTCTTTGAGCTCATACTTTTAAAGTACAATCACTGAAAGCACTAAAAAAAAAAAGTTCCAAGATCTCTTCCTGTATTTTGCAGCATCTCAAAATATTTATGCACCTCTTGGTGGTTTTTGCAGAGCCTTCATCATTGTAGTGTTTATTCTGAATGCCTTAGATGGTAAAAAGTTGTTCCTACTGAACTCCATCAGCCAATACCCAAACAGCTCTCAAGAGGGCTTTTGGGGAGTAAATTAACACTTCTCAGAATTCTTTAAATCTCTTCTATTTCAATTATTTTATTTCAAAATTAGTTTACCTGAAAATTAATATTTGGTCACTTCTATGGGTTTCATTTAAAATAGAAAAAAAAGAATGTCAGGCTAACCACCACACAGTAGTTTTTTCTTCCACATAGCAGATAATTATGCTGCTACATATTTTGTGCATCAACTATTACTTGTATTTGTGTAGCCTTTTTATGCTACATTAAGAAAGGGAGTGCTGAACTAGCAAGAGTTACACAAATAAGACTTAATGGATAAGTGACAATCTGTATGCTGAACTGCCCACAAAAGACAAAACAAAAAAAAATCAGTTTAGTAAAGCATTTTCCTTTATAGTTACTTTAAAAGTGTAAGACAAACTACATCACAGACATACTGCCAGCAGTAGATCAAAATAAAATTGTATTTTAAGAGTCTTTGTCTCTAAAAAACAAACCACTAAATTTAACTAACTGTATTCTTGCAAATAAGCAGCTTGTACAGAGTAGTGCTTCAAGAATTTTTCCTTAGGAAGCACTACCCTGAGCAATACTATTCCCTTCAGGACCGGCTGGCCCATGTACCAAGCACACGATTTGAGTTCCTTATCTGCAGGCAGCCCAGGGTAACCTTACCAGGGTTAGTGTACAGGTGACTCTCCACAGTTTTCCCGATACTCTGCAGTTTAACAGCTTGAAGGGACTCATCCCCATGCATGACTGTTGGCAAGCTGCCCAGAGCATCGTGAACCAAATTTGCCACTTCTCTTACATCAAAAAGCTTCAGAAGTTCGGAGTACACTGTTGGGAATGAGCTGAGAAACACAGCCTAGAGGAAAAGGACACAAATGGCCAGTCAGATATTGCAGTATAGTTTTACCATTTATAGAATTTAAATAACTATAGAAATTTAAGTAACTGTAGACAAATGCCTAGTTTTACATTTCAGGGGTAGTTACTAGCTTTAAAAATGGTCGTATCTTCAGAAGAAATATCCTCACAGCAATTAACAGATTTACACTTGTGACTATTTTAAGCATTATCTCATGACTGTTAATTTCTCCCAGAACAAAATGAAAGTAAAAAACTCAACTTAGAACAAAAATATTTATACTTTACAGATTCTTCACGATTTATATGCAAGAGGAATTTTTTAAAAGGATAACAGAAGCCAGCTGATATCAGAACAAAAAGATTGGAGTGGAGCTGTTTTGGTTTTCTTTGTTTTAGGATAAATAATATAACGGCCTCCGTATCTTCCACTTTTCAACATTTTGGAGTGAGACAGCACTAGCAGTCTTGGTTCACTTCAACAATCCTAAAATAGGTTTAGAAACCCATTGGTGAGTACAATGAATATGTAAACAAAACACTGGAAGAGAAAGGAGGGCAATGCCAGAGAAAGGAAGCTAGAACTGAGATTCCCTTCTACCTCTCCAAATCCTGCTGATTGAGAAAAGCTACTCATACTTCAGACCTTCTTCACACTGGTGTCAGAGCAGATGACACACAAGGCTAAAGATACTGAAGAAGATTTTCAAAATATGGCTGTTTATATCATTTTGCTATTGTCTTTTCACTCCAGCTGCTTTCTTGTTATGAGATGGAAGAACCACCTCTCTACTCTGTTCTCTCTGATTTGCCATTTTCTTGGAATAACAGTTTTCTACAGAGCTTAAGAAATTAATAATTCTTAACAGGTCTTAAACGCCTTTGGTTACAGAAACAGGAGAAGAGGACGGTGTATCTATGAGCTGTAGAAGTTGGTAGATCTACAGCACTTAACATTGAGAACTGCTTCCTCTATATTTTGCCTCTGTGCCTTAGCACGTCAATTTTAGTAGTCTCAATTGAAACAAAGAGACCACCAGAGTACTAAAACATACAGTTCATCAAGACTTAAAAGTTTTCTGTAAAGCATGAAAACTCTTGATAGTCTTTTGTATGGCTCAGATTCTTCAGTTCCAACATTGTTAACCAAGCTATAAAATGCCCAGAACAGATAAATTACTTTATTTGTATCCAGCAACATAATTATTGCAATTATAATATAATTCAAAATTAAATATTAGATTTAGGATTATCTTTGACAAGCATATTTAGAAGCTGCTGGTATGAAAATTTCACACTATAGGACAAAAGGTATGAGGATGAGCTAAAAATGCCATTTTGCTCTAGCAAAACCACATTTTCTTTCCTTGGAATATAGGTAAGGACATGCATATATTTTCTATACTGGATGTGGAAAGTGGCAATAAGCAAGACACGCTTGAAAACTTACTTGTAGTTGGGATAAAGCACTAGCTCCTTTGCTCTCTTGGGAAAGGAAGAAGCGTACTGACATAAGAAGCTCTTGAATACAGCAGCGAAATTCCTCCTCGTTTTGTCCACCAGTGGCAATAGAGAATAACCTTCGAGACTGAACTATATATTTAAAGATATATTCCTGTGCCTACAAATGTCAAAATCAGAGATAACTCATAAAAATGAACCAGCTCATCTTTAAATAGAACACATGCAATGATTGTGTCATTCAAATAATGACAAGGGTCTGAAACAGGACACCACGTTGTTTAATTTTGGTAAATCTTTCTCTTGAAACACCAACAACATTTCAAAAGCATGTACTCAGAAATTCTCTTCCCTTGCCTTTCGTCATCTCTACAAACCAGGGAACACTTGTTTTTTTAACAAATGGAAAACTGCAAAATCTAAACACAGCCCCCCCCCCGATTCCCTTGCATACAGAAAAACACATTGCATAAACATACAAGGCCAATATAAGAAATAGGCTCAAACCTTTGAGCTGTTCTTAGAACTTCTCTGCCTTTTAAAAGTTGTTTTCCTGTCAACTCTTAACCAGATAATACTAAAAAAACCAAACCCTTAAGCTGCAAAACTGTTGGAAGGTAAATTAAAAATATAGCCCTTTCTTTTTAGTCAGGCACCTAAGTAAACAGCTGCATAGAAAAGCACAGCTACTAGAATAAAATAGAATAGAATAAATAGAATAAAATAGAAAAGCACTGTGCTAATATTTTACTTCCAGACTGTACCACCTGTCCCAAATTGGACTACTGTGTTGTACACTTCTGTCTGACTTCACACTGTGCTCTGATGATGGTACAGAACGGGGCAACAAGAGCAGCCAAACCCCACATTTTCAGTAGAATTCTCTGGTGTCAGGATTGAACCATTAAGTCATCGTTCATGTCTCCCATTTAGATTCAGTTATGTGAGAGGTGTTAATAGCACCAATGCAATCTATATTTGATTCTTAGATCTTACTCTTACTCATTTACATTCTCATTTCATAAGGAACATAGAGCTCCAGAGTCTAAAAGTAGTAAGCTCCATTGATCAACTTATTGACAAAAGAGAACTATGAATAAACTGACTGCACTGAAAAAGTCTGCAGCTCCCTGGAATTAGCACTACCATTCCATCACTTATACATAATTCTGCTTCATTTCTTAAAGTTAAACCTATTGGTACTGTATAAATAAATCATTCAAATATATAATTGACTTCAAAAATTTTTACTACCTTTAGTACTTCCTGTATGTGCTCGTGCAGCTCCACTTCAGTGACTCGATCAATATGCCACTTTAGTACTTTTATAAGATCTCTGAAACAGCACATCAGAAAGTATCATAACACAGAAGTGGGAGAAGGGTTAACTTTGCATTTAAGAGGCAAACCAACAGCTATCATATGAAAAACACTGACAAAATAAAAAATATATTACTAGATTGCACTAATCACTAGAAGCTTAATATTGTACTTAGTTTTCAGTCTGCTGAAAGCCACCTAGTAGATCTCTGATGAACAGGAAATAATACCAGCACTACATATGCAGTAAAATGATTTTGACAGGGATACACAAGTTCAGTTAAGCCGGATGAGTCCCTGCCAGCATGGACTACCCCTGCTAGTCCACGCATCAGTTTGCAGTCTCATTAAACTGCACTGGTTTAAATGGAAGTTTAGCTAGCAAATAAATACAGAGTACGGCAGCGTAAGTGATACTTATTATTGCACTGCTCTACAAAGACAGTGAACACAGTTGCAGCTAGATGATGTTAAGGCTCCTAAGTTTTTCAAAGTAATTAAAATAAAGAAATCCACTACAAAAAAAGATTTTAAATGATGCCAATGTTAGAGCATTAGCAAGTAATCTTTCTGTTAACTTGAAGCTACTTTACTCTCTTTTAATGACCTAAATCTGAGCATTCATGCTTATTGCATTTTATTTCTAATGATACCCTTTAATTTAACCTAATGATTGATTTGGCTTAGTTTACCACTAACTGTCAGTATTCAAATCAGATAGAAAAAGTACAGACTTCACCTGTATGCAAGTGCTCCTGCAAAATGACTTTCAATGTAAGTGTCCATTACTGGCTTAAAATGGTGAAACTTGCTGTCCTGCAGCAAATTTATTATGTGAACCTAGATGTGAGGGGGGGGAAAAAAAAAGCTTTTTTTTTTTGTTTACTTAGTTCTTAAATAGCATTAAGCATCATCACAAAATGAAACTTACCAAACAATCAAATACTTTTGATCCATATTTTTGAGAGTTTTCATCTAAAATCCCAAATAAAGTGTCTAGTGTATCTTGAAGAAACTGATGGAAGAGAGTAAGAGACAGTGTGTTATTAAATAGGTATTTTAGTGACATGCAAATCCATTATTTCCCTCGTATTATCTAAAAGGGTAGAAACGTATATACCTTCACTATTTCTGAACCATCAATTTCTTTTAATTTTGAGAGGCAACCTGCAATTTTATCTGGGTGGGTTCTCCATTTCAGAAGGTCAAGCATATCTCCTGGAAAAATAAAATGCAAGATTAAAGTTGGAAGCAAAGCACCATTTCAGATTTCAGATTTTAAATTCTACTAGTACAGTCCACTCAGAAAAACTGGTCATCATTAAAACAAAAGACAACATCAAAAGATTTGCTATATTATGATCTGCCCAACAACAAATTTCCATTCCATCCCATAATTGCTTCATAACATAAGAACATGGTACTGGGTCACTAAAATCAGTCTCCTGTGGCAAAGGTATCATGAAATCTTGTTCAGATATTTGTCAACTTCTGTATTAAGGAAAGTTATTATTTTGCTGTCTCTCATCCCACTGAAGAATGCCTTCCAGAGCTGCCATGTTATGGCTAGAAACAGTCTCCTAATTACTACTTTGAATATATTTAAAATACTCATCTTCCTATGTCTTTTTTAGAGAACAAACACAATGCCTCTATGATCCTGCTTTATTAATAAGCAACACAAACTCTTCTGGAAAAACTGTTCTGAGCTAAAACATACCTAAGTGTCTTCATATTTCCTCCAGTTTTAATTCCTTCTCCTTCAGCTTTCTTGACCAAAATGGTAAGTACATTATAGATGACACTATATCATTGTTTTCTATATCATTAGCAAGCTCATATGTCTGCTGTAAACATTTGACATACATGTTCTAGAATGTGGGGGTTTTTTAGATATTTCATACCGGTAACACAAATAGGTTTAATACTGTTCAGCTCCCTGGCTATAGCAGAATCCCCAGAAGACTCCGTTAGGGTATGATCCTCCCTTTTGTACCATTTGATTTAATCTAGTTTCTACTCTTTCTTATAATTATTTAAATCAAAGTTACCTTGCTTTGCCTGTATCATATTTTGACTTTGTCCCTCTCAACTGATGAGCCCTTTCATCTACGTATTAGCAGCAAATTCCATTAACAGGCTCTCTAGTGTCTCAGGTTTTAGCGAACTAACTTCCATCCCCACCCCCTTCCACCCCTCAAAAAAAAAAAAAGAGATCAATCTCAAGCTTAATTCTTCAGATCTAGTAGTATTTTCCTTCAACTCGGAAGGAAATTCCTTCCACTACAGTGCAACATGGCAGTTCCATTTTAGCCTTTATTTACCAGTTCCAAAATTCTTATTCTCATCTGTATCTTTTCTAACTTCCCATGTGGTGTGTTACTGTAGTCCAGATGGTTTAAATCTGCTACGATTCCTCAGAATAATAATAAAAACACCTTTAAAAAGAACTATTAAGAAGTTTATTCCGGTATTATATGGCTTTGATAAACTCACAGCACATTCCATTTAGCTACATGTCCATTTTTTCATCCATGATTTTTTGTAAATACTTGCATAAAATTAATTGGAGGGTGATGGCACAGTTAACATATCTGTTCTTAGAATCATAGAATCATTAAGGTTGGAAAAGACCTCAAGGATCATCAAGTCCAACCCAACACCACCTAACTCACTAAACCATGTCCCTAAGCACCACGTCTACACGTTTCTTGAACACCTTCAGGGATGTTGACTCAACCACCTCCCTGGGCAGCCTGTTCCAATGCCTGACCACCCTTTCAGTGAAGAAATTTTTCCTAATATCTAGCCTAAACCTTCCCTGGTGTAACTTGAGGCCATTTCCTCTTGTCCTATCACTTGTTAGTTTAGAGAAGAGGCCAGCACCCACCTCACTACAACCTCCTTTCAGGTAGTTGTAGAGAGTGATAAGGTCTCCTCTCAGCCTCCTCTTCTCTAAACTAAACAACCCCAGCTCCCTCAGCCGCTCCTCATAAGACCTGTGCTCCAGACCCTTCACCAGCTTCGTTGCCCTTCTCTGGACTCACTCCAGTACCTCAATGTCCTTCTTGTGGTGAGGGGCCCAAAACTGAACACAGTATTCAAGGTGTGGCCTCACCAGTGCTGAGTACAGGGGCACAATCACTTCCCTAGTCCTGCTGGCCACACTATTTCTGATACAGGCCAGGATGCCGTTGGCCTTCTTGGCCACCTGGGCACACTGCTGGCTCATGTTCAGCTGGCTGTCAACCAACACCCCCAGGTCCTTCCACCTGTCTTAAATGTAGGTACTATATTTACTACTCTTAGGTCATGTGTTATTGCTTTCAGCTTCAGAAATGTACTAAAAAAACCCATCTCACTATGAAATTGAGAATTTCATGGCCCATACCATTCAATATCCTAAAATAGAGTTTTGCAAACTTGGCTTGGCTTTTAGGCAGTTTTCACATGATCCTGACCCTTGCTGCAGTCTGACACACTGCCGTTATTTTTCTCCCTTCTGTTGCAGGTTCTCTACTTACTCCTCACATTTTCTGCCTGTCACTCACTCGCTCAGGTCTGCAGCACTCCTTTCAAGTTCTCTTCAGTAAAAGTTCCACATATTTTTGAACTGTTGAATTAAATAAATCCCAAAGCTCCTTTACATTTAAGTTTACTACTTCCACATTTCACTAACGAGCTTTTCAGAATTTCTCAAAGCCTGGCCATTTAAGCAGAAAACCTTAACCACCATCCAATCCCTCCATCAGTTTAAGCTGAACCACTGCTTAGTTGATCACTGTCCAGCACTGTCTTAGAAGTATCCAGTTCTGAAATGTTCTCAGTACTTATCAAACTAAGAAACTAACAGCAAATTTTCCTCTTGGTTCAGCAACTATTTGGGTGCTTTGTACCACAGACGGTTTTCACACTCAAGTAACATTTGAGCCACACCCATCTTTGTGTCATTTCTTTCCCAGTTTGCTCCAGGAAAGATCCTCTCTCCCACAAGAAATTAAGTATTATTTCTGTCTTTAATAACATTAAGTCACCTATATTCAAATCTTGACAGAGGTGTTAACAGCAAACAGCCTACATGCTATTCCACTAATATTTTCCTGCCTTAATTGATTTGTGTGGGCACAAATTGTTTTTATGCATTTATGCATTTCTTTTTTGTTTTGCTTCATGCTGTGGTAGCACGGAACGGTTTGGATTAAAGGAGACCCTTGAGTTGCACTAAGAGTGCTGAAGTGTCCCACACATGCATCAGAGACACATCCTAAAGATCAGGGACAAATGATAGGTCCTATTATTCCTTCTGTCAGGAATTTTTGAGAAAAAAGCATTACAAATCCAGTGAACTGCATTTGTCTTTTGGATAATTAAACAGACTTTCCCACTTTATTCTGTTTAAGCCTCAACTTAAGATGAGGAGTAGCGACATCAGCTGAAGCTGTCGGTCCATGGCAGGAAAAACACTTCTTTACAGGTTTGCTGGCAGAACTTGGTGGAAGAGAGTTGACACTCAATATTAGGGATTTGTTAGGGGATTAAAAAAGAAAGAGAAAGCAAATGTAAGACATTCACTTCAAAGCACTCATTTCAAGGGAAATGCTAAGGAGGAAAGACATTGCTAAGATAACATTAGCGAATAGCCCAAGCATAAATGACATGAATAGAAAATCTGACATGTGAATCACAAGGGGAAGGGATAGCAATGTGTCATGTATTAAGAAAACTGAGAATATAAATTGTTCCCAAAAATAGGCCCGCTAGGAAAACACAGTTTTGGAGAAGGGAAAAGTCAATGTTGCTGATAAATTTTGCTGAAGAAGAAAAGCATTTCCAATGCCTTCTCTTAACTATGATCAGATTTGTACATTTAAAAAAGGCTACACCTAACCTACCATTCCTACCAAACAAAACACCTCCCTTCTCAAAGTCCGTAACTTAAATCCAAAGTGGTAGGTTTAATAAAAGGTTTAGAAACATGTGTATAAGGAAGTGGTTTGGGATGATCTTTCCATCTCTCTCCCATAAATCCTGAGACATCAGAAACGGGCCTGGTGTAGCACTACTGCCCTTCAAAAGGAAAAAGCCAAATTCCAGAACTGGCAGCCTGCGTTCCTCCTCCAACAGGCTGCTTCTGTGGTTTCCAACACTCCTTTCAAACTGGGGTCACTCTGGAAAGCTGCCCCCTCTTATTTTTGTTTTATTAATCACCAGTTTGGCTTTGTTTTAAATGCAGATAGATGGATTACACCTCTGCCTTGCAACAGACATGCTGTACAGCGTGGTGCCCTGCTGATGAACAGCTGCTTACTGGGAATGTGCTAATCGGTGCTGAGAAATGAGTAGATGCCAACTTGCTAAAATACTCTGACTTGCTGGATGCATCCTGAGTCCCTGGCAGGCAGAGATCCCTCCTGTATGTCAAAAACTAAGTAAGACTGCATTGATAACTACTCAGCAGAAAAATACTGTGTTCTCTCTTGCTCTTTTCAGTTTTTTTTAGGATAATGAAATATAACTATCCGGCTAAGAATGTAATGTATAAAAGATAGTATACTTTTTTTTCTTTTTGCTAACATTAACTGGTTAACTATCTGGGATCAAAAGTCAAGCTAAGGAAAAAGCTAACTGGCAGACAGATTAGATAAGGATGCGTTCTTATGAGATACGTTGATGAACGCACAGACTCCCCCAGTTAGAAGGTCTCTTTCTCTCTGAAAATTGTCTGGAAATAATCCTTAAAACCCCTCCAAAGTACCCAGGGGAAGGAAGTTATGGATCCCAACAACTGGGAGTCAGCCTCCTTCCCCCAGTCCCCATACTTTTAATATACATGAGAGCTGATGGCATGTGCTAACAATCAATGAGAGAATGACAGCTGAGTAAAATTTCCCAGCAAGCTAGTAAAGCTGTGGCCTAATTCAGTCCTATCCTTTATAAGTCTGGGTTTGGGGTCTCCCCCCACCCCACGGCCAGACCAACAGAATAATTTTAATTCATTTCCAGGCTGGACATTGTTGTTTGTAGAGACAGGCAGATCTTCAAGAACTTCAGAAAAATCTCCAAACATAAAAACAGATTCAAAAATAATCACCAATTTTCAAAAATACTAACATAAATGTTTACCAAAAAAGTAATAGATAGATCTTTTTAATCCTCTATTTTTTTTTAATAAATACGCTACATTCTCTCAGGGATAACTGAAGGAATGTTCACATGACTAAATACCCACATGCTTTGCTCTATGTTCATTTTCTGAGCATGCAATAGGTTTTGGCAAATTTTGTTTAAAAGAATGGGGATTTGGAAACTCACCAAGATGAACTTCCCAAAGAAGATCCTTGGAGAAAATATGAGCCTGTCTATTGAAAATATTTCCACCCTCTGAAGTACTGCTGAAATAATTGTTAACTCTTTCAGAGCTGAAAAGTGGATCAATATTATTCAGATATTCTACACCCTCTTACTCAGAATATGGTTAAAATAAAGGAAATTTTACGCCTGATGTCACACATCTATTTACATTAAGTACAAAGTAACTCCTGTACTGTGAACATAAATTAGTATTATAATCCCAGACAATAGTGCAACTATGTATCAGTGAGACAATTAAGTTCCTGGCAGCACTTTCATGCATGTGTTAAGTACCAGTAGATTCGTGTGATTTCCTAAATCAGGGCCTTTAACTGGAGCAAATTTAGTCTCTGATTGCTTATTAGCAACCTTTGGGAAATTCTTTTATTGGCTAACTTTTATTACTTTGAAGCTAATTGCTGTGAGAATACAGAATGGATGCGCACAGTGCAACAGACCACTTACTATTAGCACATAGTTCTATATCGGACATTTGCTACTAAATGGTGAAAATGAAGACAGTTATTTCCATTTAAAAAGCTGCTCTAGTTATTGTTAAACACCTATGATCAATCTGCAAGCAATTAGCAATTTTATCATCATCCATATAAGAAGAGTAAAGGCACAGTCATTCTCACACAAGAGAGAGCTAACAAGATCTTAAAGCTATGATAAAAAGCTTAGAAAAAATAATATCAACCTGTGGGGATATGAAAGAATAATCAGAAACACATTACCAAGCAAATACACAATATTCAGAAATTTGTTGAAAACTGTTTTAATTATAAACTGTAGTTAACATGGCAAATAAACAAGAATCTTAAGAATTTTATATAGAGTAATGGTAAAGAGCACAAACAAATGTATTTTTATCTGCTGCTTGTTATATCCAGTGTATAAGATTGTTTTAAATTGTAGTAAATGTTTGTTGGCCTAAAGGAAGAGAAGTGATACAACAAAAGCGCATATGTGCCTAATTAAAGCCAAACTGCCATAGCCTAAAGCCTACAGTAAGTTTTTAATAAAAAACTCTACAACAAACAGATTAAGAGGTTTTGCAAAGCAGCTGAGTTTTGATACTTGATTCCAAGAGTACTGCATTTGATTCCAATATCATGTTACTCTAAAAAGCATTCTTGAACTACTTAAAATCAGTGGTTTATCATGCTGCATTGGTTTCCATCCGGATGTAAAAAATTCTGAAGAAATCCAATTTGTAAAATGGGTAGAACAGAAGCTATTTTTGAGTACATCCATGCTTGCTTGGCACAGAAGAGGCTAGCTATCACACTCATTTGAATTCATCATGTTTTAAATAATCAACATATCCTACCATTTTGTGTGAGTTTAGTGGAGCAGAGAAAGGATGTAATCCAGAAGGACTCTTTAGTGGTTTTTACTGCTTGGCTGTTGTTTCCTAGGAAAATTCCCTTTGAAAAGGGGAGTTTGAGGTAGCGACTAGAATCCTGAAGGTTTGTGTTTTCTTCACACTGTGAAAACAAAACAGTTAAAATAACTGTACTGCATAAAAAGAAAGGACAAAATCCCTTAATTATGTGAATTATTATTGTTTTATTGAAATTTAAGAATGTTCACTATGACTGTTGCAACTTTGTTTCTGGATCATAGCTTCATATCTGGCATTGAAGTCTAATGAATTTGCACATGTTATGTCAAATGAATAGCTACAAATTTTGGTGTTAAAATCTAAAATTTATCTGGGAGCACATGGAAGTGTCTGAACAAAAAGAAAACTGTTAAATGTGGAAACAAAAAGAAATTCCAGAAAACTGAAATATCTCTAAAAATTACAACATTGAGTAGATCTGAACAAATGAGCTTGCTTGATTTTCCAACTTCAGCTATCCAGTAAAAAGGCATCATGGGGTTCACTTCGTGAGTTTTAACTGAACTTACCTTTGTGAAATCCATTATAAATACAATGTAACATAATAGTAAGACTTCATTGTAAAACCAGTGCACTGAAATATGTGCCTAGATTCAACTGCAGTTTGTAACAGGAAGCTTAATATAACAATATCAATATACAATCAGCAATGGATATTTTAACGGTGAGAAGATTATTACTCATTTGGTAATGAATACAGACTTTCTCAGCCTAATGTTTCTAGGAACTTAAAGTATGTTCCAGAGGAATCATTACAGCTAATGATTACCAATTCAAATTACCTTGTGTACAATTAGTTCATGGGTGCCATCTGGCAAAGTCCTCCCATTTTCCTGCATCAGAGGCACAAACGAAAAACCAAACAACTTCTTCTCACCCTTTTCTTTTGCTGAAATACATATGTAAATAGCAGCACTTAATATTATACATTTTAGACAAAATAAATGGATATAATACAACATAAGAAACTATACTGGAAGTTATTTGCAGCTAGCCAGACTAAGATTATCTTAAATTTCTTTTCAGATTTGCACATTATCTCCTGTAATGGTTTCTTTTATCTCACTGTAAATCAGAAAGCAGTATTCTGGAAAGATTTGGTATTTACTAACAGCAAATAACGGAAGCCACCAAATATGCAGCCTCAGCAATTACAGACTGTCAGGAAACCCAAATGAATGTGACATAGCCAGTCCAACACAAAGAGGAAAGGGCGTTTCTTTTTTTGACAATTAACCCCTATAATAACTCTACCTACTAGTCTCCGTTTTAGGTCAGCCTCAGGCTACAATGCACTCCTACATTCAAACAAGGCATCAGCCTCCATAGATACAACTGAAGATGTCACTGACCCTTACGTGAATGTCAGACAGTAGATAACTGTCTTGGATGCCTCAGCTCTAATTCCAAAACTCATCTATCACCTAAATATAAAGCAGACTACAAAACACTGAGATGGCACAGACTTTACTGAAGCTAGTGAGTGCAGATGCTGAACACTTTTAAAAATCAACAAATTTTTCATCAAATCTGTACATCTATGACTTTTGAGTCCAGGTTTAGCACGGTTGGATATTTGTTATGATTACCTGCAGCACCCCAACTTGTACTGCATGGGAAAGATAATGTATCATCTGTTTGAAACATATCACTGACATTATGCCTTTATTACTTCATAGCTGACAAAAGAAATCTTAAAAATAAATCAATGCAAATTTCTTCCTATATTACCTGTTCCTTACATTTTGAGGTTTATGTACCCAAAATCTAAACATACTGTTCACTTACTCTGTGTGTCACTTTCCACAAAGGCAATCTAAATAATCAAATTCTGCTATACTTATATCACCAAAAAGAGCCCAACAACAGCAGCAGTTTAAAAGACGCCCAGTTTTAACAGCTTGAGAGCAGCCAGCACCATAGCTATGAAACCTGTCTCTCATATCTTGGTATGTGGAACATGGACCAAGACCTCAATTTTTACCTCATAATAATCTATAAAATTGTTCAGATTGCTTAGAGAATTACAAAAGTGATGTTAATTGACTGTGATGTGTCTATGCACATTTCCCATTGGTTGTATTGCTAACCATGTGTTAAGGAACAGGTATAATTTTGGACAATTCACTAGGTAAATTCTAAATCTGCATTTGAGTTCACATGAAATTCTGTTTACATTTGCAGCTACAATGTTGTCTATTTTTATTTAATAAAATTAGACTGGTTTGTCCCCGTATTTAGGCTTTACCAAAGCACTGAGTTCCACCAAGCAGAGCTGCAAGCCTGAGAAGCTGTGTCATGAGACACATTACAGAGAAAGTTAATGCAGTTGTCTTTTTCCCGAGATATTACGGAAACCCATGTGCTGACTGGAGCTGCAACAGAGAGGACTAGCAGAAGTTGTGAACAGCACTTACTAGAACAGTGCCGGAATTCACAGCGGATGTGTGCTCCTCTGAATTTATCCACAGGGATAGGAAGTTTCAGCAGCTCAGCCCATCTGGGACCATTGTTATGATAAAGCACAAAGGAATGGTACTCGCTGGCTGGTGGCTCTCCAGACCCAAACGAAATAAAATCCTAATGAAAAAGCATTGATTAGAGATTGCCCTGGTTTCGGCTGAGACAGATTAATTCACCGGTAAGATGTCATCAAGGACTGTTCTTACAAGTGAGACTATTTAATATTTACAGTCATATCATAAAAGCCATATGTGGTATAATGCTCAATATCTTCAAACCCACAAGAATAGCAGTATTTTGTTAATACTTGCTGATTAAAAAAATGGCAAGAATCGTCCACACTGATGAGAATCTAAGTATTATACAGAGGGAACTGGGTGATTAGGAAGGCTTAAGCAATGAATGGGATGCGGAGTCCCACGACACAGCATGGTCCATCTAGTGTTACGCCCACGCAACAAACAATTTAACTGAGACAAGGACAGCCCAGGCTTAAGATCTTTAGTCCTCTGAAAGAAGCCTGTAACCCTGCTGTTATTAGTGATATGTCCCAGCATGAAAAAAGAAATCTGTATTCCCCTATTAGAGAGAAACAAAGTGTTGGCTGCCTTTGCAACACCCATGATAGTCTCTCCATAGTAGAGTAGGCAAATGGATTTGTCTGACTCCTGACTTGGGGATACCTGTTAGTTGTCTGTGGCAAAGGTAAGCTGTAGCTTTTCCCCTCAGCAATTATAAGGGATCACCTTTGCATTTCAATATCCTTTATTTTTTTACGGGCATATATACAAAAAAGAGATATACACACACATATGTATATATATTTTATATACATAAAAACTTACATACATTGCATGCCATGCATTTACACGCACAATCTAACTTCACATATACACACACATACAATTTGCAACAGACTATTTGTGTCAGCCTTTGTTTTGTCACCCCACAACCCTCAGCATCATGCAGAACATGTGAAAAAATACTTTCAAATAAAAGGAAAAATAAATGATGCTAAATACGTAAAGGTTGAAGGTGAACAGAAATCTTTTGGTATGTAAAAAAATCTGAGAAGTGGTCATCTATTAATAATTAAAATATAAAACAGCGCTTCTTTATGAGCTACCACCAGCAGCATGCAATCAAATCCAAAGAAAAGAAGGAACATTAATTTATTCTTTTATTGATAAACTATAGTGATTTTTGCATCAAGGATCTCTGATTTTTTAAAATCAGACAAAAAATTAAAAATTATCAGAACTTGGTTTGTGTAACATGAGGAAATGCATACCTACTAAGAGGAATTATTATGAAATAAAAAATTACCCAAAACTTGATCTTACTTAAAAATTTTCCAGCATCTGAATGGATCCATTAGTTATTTAGTTGGCAATTATGGGTACTTACCTGAATCACGTAATTATCACAGACATAAAACAAACATGCACTTTATAAGGGTTTTAAGCAAAGTGGAAATATTTTGAATATCTAAAGACAAGAAAAGATAAACATGACCTTTCCAAAACTTGTGCTCTTCAAACAATGCCACAGATTATTTATGTCTGAAAAAGTGTATCAAAACTAACTACAGCAATATACAACAAAAATACCTTTAAAATCTGACCACTGCTGTCCACGACATGCATTGTCACTTCCACATTTCTGGCCACACTTTTCCCTCCTTTCTCAAATTCTCCTCTTTCTACAGTGATATATAAATCATTTCTCATTTCACCTATAAAAAAAAAAACCAAACCAAAATTAAAGTATGCAAAGTGCACCTTCAATTTCCAGCTTCATTTTAATATACAAGCAGAATCTGACCTGCTTTAACTTTCCAGGATAGTCTCATGTTTCACATTTCTTGCATTTATTTTACTGCATGCAACTCTCCAGTGATTTTTAAGTGCCACGAACAATGATCTTGCTACAGTCTTCTAGTATTTTTATAACATTATTCCATCACTGTATGCAAAATAGTTAAACAATTCTTCCTTCCAAACCACAGTCTAAACCATTGCCAAATGACAATACAAATGGTAAAAGAGGAAACTGCTATATTATCAAGCCCTTAAGAACCACGCCCATAAAAAAAGGCGGCGGGGGGGGGGGAAAGAGAAGGGGCGGGCGGGGGGGGGGGGGGGGGGGGGTGGAATCTGCCATTGTATTACCTTATTATCAATTATCTTCTGAAACAACTATGGACAGAGGATAGAGTATATAGCCAGACAGAATGAACAGAAACAAATACCATGACCAGATGGTACTCACTCAAGAGTTTCGTGTGAAGTCAAGGATGAAAGAGCTGAATTACTAATAAGTGTGTGCAATCATTGAATCAATCTCTGGTTCCTGCTGGGAACCAGGTTCAAAATAAGCAAAAGGTGGTGGTTATTCAGGTAATGGACAACAAAGCTTGTAAAAAAAAAAAAATCCCACAAAAGCAACCCCAAAAACAAAACCAAACACAAACCAAAATCTTTCCGAAGGATATTGTCAATTTGAGAAACATATAAGGGTTCAGGGGATGAATGGAGAAGGCCTAGATGGAAGATCCACTAAAGGATATGAAAGAGATGATCACAAGCAGCTCAAGAAATCCCTTGAGCTGAGAATAGCTGGAGGCTGGGAGAGCATCAGGGGTACTTACCATACATGCATATAGGCATGCTCAGTCCTTACTCTTCCTTAGGTGTCTGTTTACAACACTTGACTAGATGGGCCCTTGGTCTGAGTTAGTAAAGCTGTTCTTATGTTTATTCAAGTTACAGAATTACCCTTAAAACTACTATATTCTGATTATTTCCACACTTCAGTAATATTTTATTATAAAAGTTTTAGAAGCTACTACCATATGGTTACCAAAGAGCACGCAATATTTTGGGTCCTTTCTTAGCACATGCTTATACTAGTTCTAAGTAGTGCTGGCACTTGGTTGCTTTCAGGAGTTTTACATTCAGAAAAAACGACAACACTCAGTAATCAAAAAGAGAAGCTTTGTGATATAACTGATTTAGCAAACAACTTGTAGTTGTAGCAATTTCTGTTTAAAGATTAGTTTGAATCCTACATGCATTTGTGCTACATTCGGTAATTCTTACTTATCCACAAGGAATTATTTCCATTTTCCATGGGGTCTTCACAGAAACATAAACAAATAACCATTTCCACCACAAATTTAATTACCTAGCCCAGATGAAACTCAGTGAAAACCACTTTTTTTCCTTTTTAAATAGAGTAAATTGTATAGGGTTTAAATGAAAATGAAAATGACAGTGGAACAGGTTGTCCAGAGAAGTTGTGCATGGCCTATCATTGGAAGTGTTCAAGGTCAGGTTGAATGTGGCTTTGAGCAACCTGGTCTAGTGAAAGATGGCAAGGATTACGATCTTTAAAGATTAAAATGATTTTTAAAGGTCCATTCCAATACAAACCATTCTATGATTCCATGCAAAAATAGGAAGGCATTTCTAAAAGAAGTAATCAGAGCTTCACAAAAGTTAAGCAGGCTTTCAAAAACGGTGTCTGCGTTTTAAGGTTTTTAAAAAATCTGAACACACTGAGTTTCACCTTTTTAATTGCCAGAAGAAATCAAATCACAAGGAAAAAAATACACGAGTAGGATGTACTTTCACAAATACTGTCCTGTTCTCCTCTTACAGAACCTTGGCAGAGTTTGTAATCAGTGCCATGAGAGGATAGTTCATATGAGTTTTGTCCTGATCTGCATCCATTCAGGAAGCTCTACTCTGTTTTCAATTTCTCAGAGGAAATCAAGACACATGGGTCATGTTATCGAAAGAATATGCTAGATTTTCTCCATTATCATGCAAGACAAATTTATCTAAGAGGTCATGCTATATCAGGATTTTATATGGAAATGGATAGAAAAGCAGAAAGGAAATGGAAAATTAAGAAAAAAGAATCTAAGCTATGGGCTATACATCAAGGGTACAGTCTGCATCAGGCAACCATAACACCAGCTTCTTTTTCACAGAGTATGCAGCATATCTGATATTTTATAATCTTTACAAAAGTGTAGGGTTTGGTTTAAAATTGGCCTTATGTCTGTATTCATACATACACATATTTCACTTTCAGTTTAAAAAAGATCACTAGGGGGTTGAAACTAGATGATCTTTAAGGTCCTTTTCAACCCAGGCCATTCTATGATTACTTGCAACCAAAATGTAAAAAAACCCCACAACTATATTGAAATTTCATAGTTCAGGTAAGTGCACTGGAACATTAAGAACTTAAAACCAGGCTCCTGACAAATCTTCAGCACAGTGTACGAACATATTAAGAGTAAAAGCTCATAAAATCAAGAACTCAATGGTGTTGTAAAAATCAAGCACAAAGCCTTATCAGAAAATAGCTGACAGTAAAAAAGAAAATGGATTTGGAAAGTAAACTTCGCTCTGGAAAGGTAAAAAGGAAAGAAAATTATAATAAAAACTTAGACAAATATATTTGGAACCAAATTTTAAAAATTATTTCACTCTCAATATATTGTTCTGGAGATATCTTAATGACTTCACTTCCTCAGTGTAGAAACGTCATTGCTTCAGTCTTCCTTAACTTAATTGTCTGTATAAAACTAAGTTAGGGTATTCTTTTGTGGCCCCTCTTCAAGTAAAAACAATTCTTACTTCCTCTATAAAGTATTCAAACATCAGCACATTGTTGAATTGATTTATATTCCTTTAACTGATCTTTTTAATTTATGGCAACTGTAATTACACTTTTGATTAGAAGACCATGCACCATTTTTCTACGGGATCTTTGGCTTAAGCAGTACATGAGACAGGTAATTCTGACAGATTAAGTAATCTTGTTTTCTCTTAAGAGGGGCAATTACATCCATAAGTAGCACTGAACTCTGAATACCTGAGCTCTAAGGTAGACTTCCGTGAGTACAAATGGTATCTTCTGCTAAAGTATCTGCACGACTCAAATCTCTCCTAGGTGTATGTGTACTGAGATTTTCATCTCAGTCTTATACTTGACCAAATGTAAGGAATTTACACAGAAACAAGAGAGGCACATCTTAGATGGTAGAGTAGATCAGATTTTAATTACTAGTTGAAAACATGCCTATAGAATTGAATCTCAATCAGATATGATGAGACTTTAAACATGATGAAAAAACCAACATACTTATTCCACCTTATTTCCATGTTGAAAAATACAAAGTCCCCTTTCCTAACCTGTTTCAGGGAAAACATCAAATGGTTATTTTCAGCATTAAGCCTGGTACAGGAATAAGCAACTGAAAACAATATTAAAAAATGGTGCTCAACTTTACGGTGACAAACCTACCTCTACCTATAATGAAGTTGTGTGGTATGAAAGATCTAGATCTTTTGCAAGCATTGATTTTAAAAGAAAGGGTAGCTCTTAGGGGGCATCTCCATCCCTCGACTCCTGTTGTGACAGTTTGTTTAAGCTTTCTGAATTCACCAGGGCTTCTGGACTGTGCAATGAAGATGTGGATGTCACCATCCAGTTAATACCACGGTTAACCATTATAGAGCCAAACCCCATTAAAAGTCAGCTTTGTCTAGGACTGACATACAGTTTTCTGGGTAAAAAAAAGGTAAAGAATGGTGAACCACACACACTGAGACCATTAAACGTGCTTTGTGAAGCTAAACCCCCTAGGTCTCCTTAGATGTGAAGGGCACTTCCAGACATGTGGGTTATGGGCTGAGTCAACAGAAGCTGGAAAAAAGCAAATTAAAGAAGCCATGTATTGCACTTCTGTGTTGTCTGAATCATTTCACTGCTTAAAAACCTGCTTATCTTGGCACTGCTACTTTCTAGCCACAATCCCAATAAAAAATGAGGTTAACATGTTACAACCAATCATAAAACAGAAGGTTGTTGTATGTCAGATGCTAGATGACAAACAACAAAGCAGAAGAAAAAAATGTTGGTGTTGGTCCCTATGAGAGTAAGATGTAATACGCTGTCTCTTGGAAAAAAAAACAGAACTGTGAAGATCAAAGAGTGTATCAAGGGAAGCCGTTCATTCTTACTTGAGACAATAATGCAATGTGTTGAAAAGGGTATCAATATATTCTGTCCTAAATACAGAAGTGACCCATTAACGCCAACACTTTGTCACTACTTAGTCTTAGTTAGCACCCCATTATTTCACTATTTGACTAATCAAAACTAGATTTTTAAATATTAAAAGCTACAGACTGAAGCACTCCTACAAGAGTTTCTACCATGAAGTGAAGGCTAGAGCTATATGGATATATAGCTAGAATTTAAGAAAAAAAACATAAAGCTGCAGTGATGTGGATGATTATACAGCCTTAACTTTCCTGTGCAGCACAGGTGTCCAGAGCACACTCTGCAGGGACATTTACTCTGGTAAGGTGAATTTAATTGTGTGTGAAAGGTGCTGAACTGAAATGTCTGGGTTGCTAAATCAAAATGTGTACAGAACACCTTTCGCAGTACCTGCCTCTTCATTTGGTCCTGCCAATACATTTCAGCTTTGACCTGGCAAAAATATCTTGAAAGCACTATCTATCTTGAGAGAGGAAAAACTCCAAACCCTTCTTGCCCCAGATGTAGGTGCTAACCAGGCACATTACAGCTCAAGGCTTCTGACCTAAGAAACAGAATAAGCTTCATGACTTCAATCCATCTAGCAATCAAGTGTCCAAGGGCTGAATGGAAGCAGAGGACAGAGACTCGATCAGCATCAATTACATGAAA